ACTCTGTACATTTCTGAGACGCTTATAATGCTTTCATAAATATTTATTAAAATATATCTTATAGATTGTTGTTTTAGTATATCTTTGTTGTATTATATTAATAGCAATTATTTATATAATGACAATTTAATGTTTCCACTCTGAAGCTGTTTTCTGTAAGGTATACAGGAAGGGGGAATGAAGAATTTATTTATGCCCAGCATCCTCCGTTTATAACCTCATAAGTAACTACTAATTAAATGAAAAACTACAGAACTATAGGACTGCCTTCCAAGATTGAGCTATCCTAGCTTCAACTATCACATAGCTTAAGGCTTTACAGTACTTGCAGTTCCTTCCCTATGTATTCATTTCATCTGCAAAATAATCCCATGATTGTTCAATTAAATCATTAAGGGACTTAGAAAAGACCTGCTTCAAGTCACAACTTACCTCCTAAGCAATGACATCAGGGACTGGAGAGATGGCTCAGTGGTAAAGAACCCTTGCTGCTCTTGGGGATGACCAAAATTGAGTTCCTAGCATCCATGTTGGGCAGTTCACAATGGCTTATAATTCCAGTTCCAGGGGGATCAATGCTCTCTTCTGGCCTCTGCAGGCACTTGCACATGCTACTGTATACATACACACATAAATTTAATTTTTTTAAAACTAATAACACCACCACAAGAACTTGGCTTTTTTGACAACTTGGTCTCGTGTGTTTTCTACTCTAACATTCTCCTTTTCTAGGCCCAGAAAACTTTACTGGAGGTTGGAAAAAATCTCAAGTAAGTGGGACAGAAAGATACATAACTGATCCTAGCACTCAAAAATTGGAAGCCACCTGGACTATGCAGCAAGATTTTACTGAAAACAAAACAAATACTCTCAAGTTGAAAAAATTATACATTATATAATTTAGAATTTGGTTCTATACCACAACCAAAGATAGTTAATAACAAATATTCAGAGTAGATTAACTGTAAGAGAAATGTCACTATACAGTCTATAGTATAGACTCAAAATGGAAAAAAAAAAAAAACTTCTCCATTTAATGCTTAAAAAACACCAACCAACCAACCAACCAGCCAGCCAACCAACCAAAAACAAACAAACAAACCACACCAAACACAAACAGACTGCATACTCAGTTCACATTCCCTCTCTGGCATTGAGTCTTCATGTAAATACCTTCCAGCCACGACATCTGGCTTCTCTAAGCTTCTCTAAACCCAAAGGTCTGCATCAGTTGATCCAAAAGTTTGCTGTGGGGAGTGTGTGAGGAAATGATCCTGATATGCATACACATACACACACACTATATGTATCTATAGTGTGTATGTATACATTTGTATGTATGTTTGTATGTACGTCTGTGAATGTGTATATATGCATCAGGAGGCCAGGTCAACCTCAGGTGGCATTTTTCAGAATCTGTCCTGTTTTTAAGAGACAGGTGACCCAGAGCTCACCTGACCCCGCTAGACTGGCTGGATAACAAGTTCAGGTAGACCTGTTTTGTCTCCCCAGTGCTGAGGTTACAAGGCATGCATTGCCATCACAGTTTTTTACGGGGTGCTAAGGATCTAACTCAGGTCCTTATGCTTGGCTGGCAAACACTTTACCAACTGAGCAATCTTTCCAGGCCGTAAGCTCAAACTCTTGCAGTCACCTTATACCCTGAAACACTTACTGCTTCCTTAAGTACAATACCCATTTATTACAGCAAGAAAGGATGGGCTGGGTTGTTCATTCTGTGTTCCTCAGAAGGAGTGACAGAAAAACAAACAAACAAACAAACAAAAAAAAAAAACACCCCACCATTTACTGTTCAAAATATAACTTTATCTATTTGAAAACCTTTTCCTATTATTCATTAATTCCTCAACTTCCTCATGTATCTACCAGATTTACCATGAACTCCATGAGGGGTTTCCATATGGTATCCTTGTTGCTAACGCTTTTTCAGACATTGGAGAGCATACAAAAATTAGTAAGCCTGACCATAAGACAGCTACCAAAACAAACACAAACTGCTAAACATACAACAATCCAAGTACTACATAAAAATACATATAAGGGCCCCTGGTAGTAAATATAATTAGGACCATTAGAAGAAGCTCCATGAAGAGTTGAGCCTTAAGTGTGACTAAGATTCAGTTAGGCATGAGAAAACAATATGAAGCCAGGCACACACCTTTAATCCCAGCACTTAGGGAGGCCCTGGCAGGTGGATCTCTGTAAGTCTGAGGCCAGCCTGGTCTATAGAGTGAGTTCCAGGACAGCCAAAGTTACACAGAGAAACCCTGTCTCAAAAAAACAAAAAAGAAAAAGAAAAAAATAAAGGCATAGCAAAACATGTGACAGAAAAGTTTCATTTCTTCAGAACAAAAAGCTAACTGATAGGGACTGGTAGATAACAACGCTGGAAAATGAACTTGGAGCCAGAAACTACAAAGGTCCTCTTATATACTGCTAAAGAAACTTGACTTATTGAATAGGCAATTCAGAGCATCATGCAGTTTTCAAAAGGAAGGTCATTAGATAATCAAGTTTATATAGACATAGAGAATGTCAGCAAAACAACCCAGAAAGTCATGTTACCAAGCTAGATAAGAAGCGGAAGTTGGGTTGAGTGGGCAGGTGAATATCAACAAGGTGTTAACACTAAGAGAAAAATCAAGGATAACAGACATTTCTTGTGGAACACTAAAAGGAATAACATCATTAACTATGTTTAAAAAAAAAAAAAAAAAAAAAAAAAGCAAGAGCTCTTTTAATCATTTTTCCCAGAGTGAGACAAAAGCCTAGCTTCAGTTTTAAAAATAATTTTTCAGGGTTTCTTCTTGTGTTTTTGTTTGTTTCTTTGTTTGTTTTGGTTGTTCATTGGTTTGCTTTGCTTTGTTGAGGTAGGGTTTTAGTTCAACTAACTGTTGGACTTACAAGTATGTGTCATGAAGTCCAGATTATTTTGTTTTTTAAGGTTCTGTAGACTACCCAGGTAACCTCCAGAAAGTTCTAATGAAATATAAGGGTAGTCTTCAAAAAGCATGCGAATGATCACTGACAATATAAAAGTTGGCTTTGGTGATACATTTCTAGAAGTTATTTCACAGCCAGAATTGCAAAGTCAGAATCTAAATTTGTCTAAACTAAAGTCAGCCTGGGAGGAACAGAGAAATACAAGAAAGAAAAAGAAGTGAATAGTAACAATTTGAAACAAGAATTCAAATAGTATTATGTATTCGCAAGCCAGGAAACATGTTAAAGGACCTATCCCTCAACAACAGCCAAGCAGATCCATGAAACACAGCAAAAGTCAGATAGAAAATCCCTCCATGGTGGCACAGTTACAATATAACTGTAAGTGTTCTACTGTCCTTTCCCCTGCTGAAAGCATTTGATTCATTACTAGTTCTGCCTAGCTCTACCATAGTCAGGCAGAGACACTAGGTTTCAAACATTTTTGAAAAAAAGAAAAGAGAAAATCCCAATTCCAATGACAGCTACATAGGAATTAAAACAGTTAAAGGCCAGGCCATAAACTCCAAAGACCTTCATCAAAGAAATGGGCAGCTCAACCAAACATAGAGCAGCAACAGCCGTATTCATAAACTTAAAGTATAAATGCCCACCTTTCTCCAGAAAATCACAAAGACTACGGGGCAGATTCACAAACAACATCGATTTCCAAAGAAGAACACAGATCAAAGTAAATTCATAAAGGGAGGAGAGGCAGAATCTTATTTGGAATACCAATTAAACAACAATTATCCTGGATTTCAAGTATTTCATCCTTTTGTAAACTGCAGGTATCGGTTTTGTTTAAAGGACGCAAAACTTAAAAGCTATAAGGCAAGAAAAAAAAGTGAGATCATGTGTAAGTAAGGAGTAGTAAGCCCAGACTAGCCTAGAACTCAAGGTCCTCCTGCCTGTCTCCCAAGTGTTCAGACTTAAAACCAAATAACATGAACGGTAGCAAAAAGTTTGAAACTGTCAGATGCCTCAACTCTCCAACCCGTGGTAAAAATCTCTAACTTCATTAGGCCTCAATGTTCTCATCTCTAAAACCGGAACGCTGCCCATGGACTGTTTATGGAATAGACAATGTCAGGGGCTCTGTGAACCATAGGGTAGTGCCAAAGGCAAAGGAATTGTTTTAAGCCTGCCAGTAGCGACTTCCATTTACTCCCCAAACAAAAACCACCGTGAGGTTAAATGTCTAGTTCCTCGAAAGGAATCCATCAAAGCTTGCTCGGATCTCAGTGTGCCCTCCAAAAGTCCCCAGGCCTTCTCAAGTCCCATTAACCATCCATCACCTGGTCAGGTGTAGGGTGGGAGACTACCGGGGCAAACACAAATGTCGGGAGAAGCATACAATGACTCGCCCAAGGTCAAAAACATTACAGTGTAGACAAGCCAGGCTTGCCAGCAGCACAGGCTACGTCTTCCCAGGTGCTGCCCCTTCCGGAGCCTCAGGAAGCAGCGTAGGGACGTGGTCTGCAGGGAGCTCCTGGCCTCCTCCAGCAGGCCCACACTTGACCACCTCGGGCGCGGCCAGCTCCTGCAACCCACCCTCAGCTAGGGCCCCAACCCCGAGGCCGAGACCCTTGGGCCAGGCCCCACAAAGTGAAGTTTGCCCGGCTCGCACCCCACGCCAAGTCCACGGTCTCACGCACTATGGTGGCCCGGCTCAGGACCCCGCCGCCGACACCACCAAGCCGATGACGCTGGACATTCAACCTCTCCCCCGACCAGCAAGACTCTCCTTCGGCCCAGACAGCGGGCAGGGTCGACTGTAGACTTCCTCCGCGAGCTCCGCCCCTTTGCTGCCAAGACGCACCCTCCCCCGGAGCAGACGAACAGATCCGTGAACCAGTCGAAACTCGGAACCGGATGGGGCTCGCGGACAGACAGACTCTAGAACCAATCCGTACGCGAAGCGGGAGGGGGCGTGTCTCAAGGAGCTGCGCCACGCCCCCCTGTGTTTCCGCTAGCGCGGAAGAGCCGAAGGAAACTTTCCCAGAGTTCCTTCGAGCTCCCTAGGTTCCCGCGGGGGCTGAGGCGGCGGCCGCCCGCGGGGAGGGGACTTGGGTCTGCTGCGGATTGGGTGAGGAGCGGGCAGAGCAAGGGACACTGTCCCATTTCCGAGAGGCCCCAGAAACCCTGCTGTTGGGAGCCTAGGCATCCTGAAGTCCCGGCTGTGCAGCCTAGCAGAGACCCCCGCACATCTCCATAGGCTGTACAGTGGAGAGCAGACCCCATACGGGGTGCGAGGGCCGGCTGCAAAGCACCGCTGTCCCACTTCAGGGCTTCGCGGAAGAGCGGCGCACTCCACTCTATTACAGCTCCAGGGTGTCGGGCGTACACTCTTACCCTAAACTGCCCGGGCTCCCGGACCCCAAGGCCCTACCCTGACAACCCCGCAAGTCTGGGTCGCGGTAACTAGTGCTTGTCGCCTGAGAAGACACCATTCTACATTGGAGATCGTGACTTCCAAACCAGGGCAAGTGGCTTCAAAAAGACGCTGGAGGACAGAATCCGTCTTGGGGGCGGAGCGTCGGGGAGAACGGTCACAAGCAGGAAGCGGAAGCCCTGCCCACCTCTCAACTTCTCCCAACCTGTAGTAGCACAGGTCTAGGTCTTCCTCTTACTTTTGTCCAGCCTGGTCCCGGGTGATGGCTCCGCTAGGGGATCCGCGGCGCCTCTGCAAGCTGGTTCAGGAAGGCCGCCTGTGCGCCTTGCAGGAGGAGCTGAAAGTAGCCGGAGGTTGCCAGGGGCCGGAAATTGCAAGAGGCTGCCTGGGGCCTGGCGGGGACACCCTTCTCCACTGTGCAGCCCGCCACGGGCACCGGGACATCCTAGCCTACTTAGTGGAGACTTGGAGTATGGACATTGAGGCTGCCAACCGAGACTACAAGCGGCCTCTGCATGAAGCTGCCTCTATGGGCCACCGGGACTGCGTGCGCTACCTCCTGGGCCGAGGTGCAGCTGTGGACTCCTTGAAGAAAGCGGACTGGTAGGTGCCCAGGGTCCAGAAAGACTATAACCACATTCCCTGAAAAATCACGAGTTTTTGTCTCTACTTTTCAGTGTGTCCGTTAGATGATATAACTTTCCTCGGCTTCTAATTCTCATCCCAACCTTCCTTTCTTCTTGGGGGTTGGTTCTTTAGTGAGGACAGCCTCTTCCCGTTGAGAGAGTATAGAAATGTAATCGAGTGAAGTGTAACGGGTGAATCGTATTACTCGGGTGCCCAGGATGTGTTTGGAGACATCTTGCTAAATTACCTGGTCACGATTACATTATTGTAATTTGCATGGCTTCTGTGGATAGGTACAATTGATAAAATTCAGTTGGACATGCACCCGATATTGAGCTCTGTGCATTTTTGTCACATCTAGCCTTGCAGAGCCACCAGCAAGAATGTTGGTGATACTCTGCCACTGCTCAAATCAATTTAATTTCTTGCTAAACTGACATCTTTTTTAGTCTATGTCTGGTTCCTGAGAGCTTGTGAAATTTTTTAGGCTCTTAACAATAAAGGTCCTGCCTTCAGGTTATTTCAAGTCTGTCAAAACATAGGGGCTGAGGTGGTGCAGCCTCCTAGCATTTATGAGCCCCTGAGTTTTAGCTTAGCATATCAAGGGCAGGAGAGAGCCATATGATTAAAAGTACATTTTCTTCAATATTGTAAATAAATAGTCCCACTGTATCTTGAGGGTTATCTGTGGTTTTTATCAGTCCTCTGATTGGCTCATAAACAGTTTTTGCCTCTCAGATAACCTACCCTTGTGGATGTACATTCAGAATAAATTTGTCCTTATTATTTCTCCACAGTCCTCAGAGAAGTCATATGTAGTCTAAGCTGTTTTCCTGTGCCTCCCTCTCCCCCACCCCCAGACTCCTCTAGATTATCTGTCTATGTCAAAGACATACATTGTCTGATGGCTTGGTTTCTTCCAAGTTCCATCCTGTTTGGCCTTAGGACTCCTCTGATGATGGCTTGCACAAGGAAGAACCTTGAAGTGATCCAGGACCTTGTGGAACACGGTGCCAATCCACTGCTGAAGAACAAGGACGGCTGGAACAGTTTCCACATTGCCAGTCGAGAAGGCGAACCTGTGATCCTCCGGTACTTGCTCACAGTCTGTCCAGATGTTTGGAAAACAGAGAGCAGAATTAGAAGAACTCCTTTACACACTGCAGGTACACCCTGCAAGCGCTGTAGTCTGCAGTTGGCCTCACCCCAGCACTGCCTACACTTTGTAGTTCAGGTCACCTGCTGGGGAATGACAAGTGAAGGCCTCAGAACGTCTTGGGATGTCTTCACAGACTATAAGTTTCTAAAGGGATGGGAACTTCGGCTAGCATGTCATTGTGTCAGTCCACTTTTAGAGTGAATCTGTCTTACCTCCTCGTTAGTTAGATGGTAAGCTAGCTTAGTTCTTTCTTAAGTCTGTGACCCTGGGTAAAGAACTCGGTCTGTATGTGAGCAAATGCCCTTCTTAGCTTTTGACAGAGGTAGTGATACCATGATGTAGAGTCAAGGGAAAAAGCAAAATTAGTGTGAAATGTGTGAATAATAAGCTCAAGAGTCTATAAAATAAGTTGGAAAATAAGCCAAGCATCATGGTGCATGCCTATAATTTTTGCACTCAGAAAGTTGAGGCAGCAGGATCCATGCAAGTTTAAGGCCAGCTGGGCAATGTTGAGAGAACCTGTCTCAAATTCCCCAATACCCCCACCCCCGAGAGAGAATTTTGGAAAATAGTTCTTAGTCTGAGGGGTAGTTTGTTGAATTAGGATACTCTTGCTTTCTCTAAATAAAGATCCATGCCTGAGATATACAGTTCATACAGGCTGGATAACAAGCATCTGGTTGTTTTCCAGCCACAGCTGGCACTTAGGAATCAAGGAATCCTTTCTGAAACCTTTTTAGTAAGTAGGAAAAAAAAATACTAGTTCATAAGTTACTTGGGCAGCTCTTCCATCACACACACTCTCCTAAAATATTCCCTTGGAGAACCAGTCAGCAACCTGTCACTTGCCCAGAATAAATGGAGGCCAGATAGTCAGAATCTTTCCTGTTGAGTATAGGTATCTTCAGTAGGAGGAGTAAAGTTCTGGATAATTTTCATAGATTACTATTAAATCGATTAGCATCAAAATGTTTTTGCAGTTTTATGGTGAAAGATTGTACTGGCCTTGAACCTTACAGTGGTAAGGTGGAGAGATAACTGTAAAGTTGGAAGTTTGCCATAAAAGTGCTCCTAATTGGAAACCATTGGGTACATGAAGTGAAAACATCATTCTTTACCCTTTATTTGGCTGGATTTTCTCTTACTGGGACAGTAATGGTAACTGTGTTAGGCTTTCCTCTGTGAGAAAACTGGGGCAGATATGGCTGAGCCAGCTCAACAGTTAAGAGCACTTGTTGCTCTTGCAGAATACCCGGATTCAGTTCCCAGCACCCTCATGGTGGCTCACATCCATCTCTAACTCTGGATCCCAGGTTTCAAGGGATCCATCATCCTCTTCTAACCTCTGTGGGCATTATCTATACATGTGGTACAGATACAAACACATAGACAAAACAGTTATACACAGAAAATAGAATAAATTAAAACAAAAATAATTTTAAAGACAAGACAGGCAGAGAGTGGAGCCAGGAGTGAGAATTTTGCCTGTTTTTGTTTGGGGGGTTTTGTTGTTGTTTGGGTTTTTTTGGTTTGGTTTGGTTTCGTTTCGTTTGGATTTTCCGAGACAGGGTTTCTCTGTGTAATAGAGCCCTGGCTGTCCTCGCTTTGTAGACCAAGCTGGCCTCAAACTCACAGAGATACGCCTGCCTCTGCCTCTCGAGTGCTGGGATGAAAGGCGTGTGCCACCACTACCCAGTGAATTTTTGCTTCTTTTTAATTATTTATTTGTTGTACTGGGATAAAACCCAGGGTTTTGCACATGGTAGGCCAGTGTTTAGCCAATGAACTACTTCCCCAGCCAAGGTTTCAAGTGTGTACTAAAATGTTCTCGTTGTCTCTATTCCCCTCCTCCCCTTGCCCCAGCAATGCATGGCTGCTTCGAAGCAGTGCAGGAGCTTCTTGATAGGTAAGAACAGAATGGTAAGTTAGTGGAAAGTATTTCTTATAATAAGTAGTCCTTTTCCTTTTATGTGGAAAGCTTGGGGCCCACAAACTGAAAAGTTTGCCTTCAGTTCATTGCCTACACACCAATGAGCATTGCAAGGACTCTGGATCCCCACAGGAGTGTGATGGGAGGACCTAGTGTAAATTAGTGAAGACTCTGAAAGAGTCAATGTCTCAGCACCAGTAAAACCAAAGCTGTTCACCTGAGGGGAGAATAACAGCTGTAAGGGAGGGGTAGGGTGGCTTTTTGCACCAAGGAAAAGGACAGCATATTTGAGAGACTGGAAGTAGTTCAGGGTAGGTTGAAATCTGAACAGTCAAGAGAATACGGATGCTGTAGACCATTGCAAAAGTTTCCACTTTATTATGTGCATGTGAGGTACCATTGAGGCATTGAGTTTGTTGGTTTGTTTTGAGAAGGATCTCACTATGTAATCCTAACTGGCTTGGAACTCAAAATATAAACCAGGCTGGTCTCAAACATACAGAAATCCACCTGCTTCTACCACTCCAGTTCTGGTATTAAAGGCATATATCACTGTGCCCAACCCTGTTGAAGGGTTGGCTTTTTATTTTCTTAGATTTATTTATTTTTATTTTTTGTAAATGAATGTTTTGCTTGCATGCGTGTCTGACACTGTGCGCATGCCCGGTGCCTTTAGAGGCCAGGAGATGGTGTCAGAAGGAATCAAACCCTGGTCCTCTGGAAGAACAACAGTACTCATCACCGTTGAGCTGTCTCCTCAGGTCCCTTGTTGAAGGGTTTTTAAGCCAAGGGTCATAAGAAATCAGTTGTCATGGATCACCTGGTTGCAAAATATAAATAAACCTGAAATGGGAACAGGTTTCTGTGAAATTGTCTCTTGGGTTAATAAAGTGTAATTGGAGAAAAATAATGGAAGCTGGGCTGAGTCGATGAGTATAGGAAGTGTGGTTTCAACGAATTAGAAGGATTAAGATTTCTTGTTGGAGGAATCATGTCATTAGGGGTGGGCTTTCATGTATCAGAGGATAACTCCCAGCTATTCTTCTAGTACCTGCCTACCTGCCTGCATGCTCCCTACATGATGATAGTGGATTAAACTGTAAGCAAGTTCCTAACTAAATGTTTTATTTCATAAAGTTATCTTTACAGCAGTAGAACAGCAATTAAGGCAAGAAAGAAGCGGTGGATTGAAGGGTATCTTTTAAAAGTTGACTCAGGAATAGGTGAATAATTTCGTAGAGGATCTGGGAGGGCCTGGGGATATAGTTCAATGGTAGAGTGCTTGCCCAGCATATTTAAGGCCTTGGGTTCCATCGAAAATAAAGGAGGGGCAAGGGAACATTGAGGATGACTTTCACAGTGAGATGCCTGTGCTACTTGCTGAGACAATGAACGGTGGACGAGGAACATGTTTAGAGGAAGCATAAGAATTTTGCTTTGGGACAAGTGCAGTAGTTGTATCTCTGTGGGTGTTCAAGGCAAAGACTTCAAGTAGGCAGAGACAAGATGGGCCAGATACAAATGTGAATCTTTGCAACATATGAGTGGTGACGTGAGGTTAGAAGTGGAAAAAGTAACTTGGTCAAAGTACTCAAGCCTGGGCCCTAAAAACATGTCTCAAGCACTTAGATTTGCTTTTCTGCAAATTTGTAAATACTCTTCACTGAAGAAACCCTTTTCAAGCACCTTTGTTTGTTAGGTCTGGGTAATGAAATAAACAGCTCTTCTCTAGTGGCCCTCATAGGCTAATGAAGAAGACTGTGAATAAATAAATCCACAGAACCCTAGAATTAAGGAACTGCATGCATTCGTGCACATCTGTGATTCCAGTGCTTTAGAGACTGAGGCAGGAAAAGCTTGTGTTCCAGCCAGGCTGGACTGCACAGCAAGATGACTGGTTGTTGGGGAAAATGGCAGCGGGAGAGGGTGAGGTGAGGGTGGTGATGAAAAGAGCATTAGGAGGCTGTTGTCAGCTGACTATGCATAAGTGTGAAAGCAGAGATAGGAGGCCAAAGACATTTTAAGTAGCCTGGCTGTAAAATTATGTCATGTAATTGGTTGGGAGAGAAAAGAGAAAGACAGCGGTAAGGGTGACTACAAGTTACTAAGCTGAGAAGTTGAAGAAGTGAAGGTTCCTGCAGACATGGTAAAATTTAGAAGAGGAAAGTCCTAAAGACCCAGAGCTTGGTTCAGAAGCTAAAGTGATAAGAGGAAAGACAGCTCCAGACTGTCACGGACATCTGTAAGGCATAAAGTCTGCTTGCGGACTATCCTGTCACCTGTCGTAGATTTGAAACAGTGAATTCACAGTTCTGTCATTTTTGGATTTGGCTGTAGGTGTCACTATGAACCAGACTGTAGAGACAACTGTGGTGTCACGCCCTTCATGGATGCAATTCAGTGTGGCCATGTTAGCATAGCCAAACTGCTCCTTGAAAAACACGAGGTATAAAGTATTTTTGCTTATTCCTTTATTTCTTCTTTAGAAAATTTAGATCTGGAGATAAACAATACATCATTATTCATCTGGGTTTAAATCCAGGCTCACCTGAGTTTCTCTGGTGGGATCTTTGACCTCCAAAAACACTCGTGAATCAGTGTTCCTATCTCTAAAATGGCAACAGAATGTAATTTCAGAAGTTTCCTACAAAGACTAAATGATGCTGGGGTGGAGCTCAAAGTAAAGCACTTACACAGCATGCCCAGGACCATGGACTTATCCAGGGAGGATCCAATAATCCCACATCCATAGAGCAGTTAGCAAACTAAGGATTCAGTAAATAGTGTCACTTTGATAGTAATAGCTACAAAGTAGCCTGATAGAGCTTAAGGCACTGCAGCCAATGACTCAATTCCTTTGAGAATGGAACAAAAATTATGTGCTCTGCCCAGAAGAACTGCACAGACAGCTAAGCCTCACCAAAACATCTACAGGACAATGGCCACAGATTTCTCTGTGTTTAACATTGTTCCTCTTTCCTGCCTACTAGGCTTGCTCTTCAGTTGCAGATAGCCTGGGGGCCCAGGCTATACACCGAGCAGCAGTCACTGGGCAGAATAAAGCCATACGATTCCTGGTGTCCGATCTCGGCATTGATGTGGATGTGAGAGCAAAGTCAACCCGGCTCACAGCACTTCATTATGCAGCTAAGGTTAGTTGCTTCTCATGACAGCATTCCTTCTCTAGGCTCACTTTGCTCCAGTGATGGGCAGCTCTGTAGTCCTGACATCTTTGTTGAATGTATAGAATGCATCATCTGTATTCTATAATCCTGAGATGTCCATGATTTTGAGTCTTGTCTTTTTACTAGAAGCATGTTGTATTTTGTTTTTAGGCAAAAATAAACAAAGGCAAACTCTTTTTAGTTTTTCAAAACAGGGTTTCTCGTGTATCCCAGATGGCTGTCCTAGAACTCACTTTGTAGACCAGGTGGCCTCAAACTCAGAGATCCTCCTGCCTCTGCCTCCCTAGAGGAGAACTCTTAATTCTGTCTAATACTTGGGCTTTCTGTACGCCTTCCCATTCTTATTTTCAGTAATAATGTTATTTAAAACCATAAAAATGTTGAAGGGTGAGGAGGCCTTCTCAGTTGTCTCTTAAGTGTTTGAAAGCAAATTGTGTAACTCCACTTTAGTAAAGTTAAAACTTTTCTGTTACATATAAACAAATAGGACATAGCTCAGCCATCTCCTTGCAGACTTCCCAACACGCACATCAGGCAGGTCACACTAGTTGTAGCTCCAGCTCTAACGGAGCTCACTGATACCCCATTCTGGCTTCAACAGGCTACATACCTGTGTTCACACACACACAAGTAAAAGTAAAGTAACTTGCTGAAAATTTACAAGTGAACAAAATTTCATTTAATAATTATAACTCTTTCTTGTATTGAATTCAGAAGTTAAAATCTCTTTAACTGAGACAAAGAAATTGCATCTACTGGTCTCTCCAGTACATGGAACATTGAGGATGTGCATAAATATTTCACTAGACAAAAAGCTATTTTAGGAGCCTTGCTTATTATACATGGTTAAGAAGGTCCTTGCCTTTATTTGGTTTTCTAGAGGCAAGAGTACAGGTTTTCTGGCCACAACACCTACCACACACTCCCCCTGAATACAAGGATAGATACACAAGTAAACTGAGGGTCCAGTCCACGAACATGAGAAGAAAGGCTAACATTTCTTCTGTAGAAAGGGTGAACCTGCAATCTTGATTTTAGCCTCACTACTTTCTGATGGGCTAACTGCCTAGTGTGTGTGTAAATTTCTATGTAAGTAATGCCAGCTAGGGTAGGTCTCTCTCTTCTGAGAGCCCCAAAATTTTACAGTTCCTCTCTGCCTTAAAGATGTTAACAAAGAGTTCATATAATTGGGAAATTTTGGAATTGTGACTTCTATATAAACCACAACATTGTACACTGCTGATCTAGATGGAAACCTAATCATATTATCCATCTGGATAACTGAATGTTACAAATGTTGAATGAATTGTTAGAATCATGGGTGATATAAATCTTCCTTAAAACAGGAAGATTGCAGATGGCTTCATCAGGAAAGGTTTCTGATGCACAGTAAAGGTTGTTTTTAAGGCTTTGATTTTGTCCTCATCACAGTGGTTAATGAACGTATTTCAACTCTCAGGAAGGACAGACGAGCACAGTTCAAACTCTGTTATCCTTGGGTGCTGACATCAACGCTAAAGATGAAAGAAATCGCTCAGGTATGAAATGATTCGTGGACCTTTTAGTCTGCGTTGATACAGGGTGAGCACCTCAGTGGTGAGCTCTCACCTAATGTGCACACAGACCTACATTCAATCCCTAGCCCTGAAAAAACAAGCAACTGTTATTTTAAGCCATAACCATATATGTGAGGTGAACACATTTTTAATTTTTAATTCAGGAATTTTTAATTTTTATGTACCACTAAAACTATGTATAATTTGTCCATGAGAGTGATCCTAGGAATAAACAGTCCCCTCCTGCTTCCTATTAACTAGAAAAGCTTCTTGCAGCTTTTCTGATTCTTTTGTTTTCTTTTTTTTTTAAATTAACTTATTTATTTGTTTATTAAGGTTTTCTTTATATAGCTCTTTATCTTAGAATTCACTGTATGAAATAGGTTGGCACCTCAAACTCATAGAGATCTGTCTCCCATTTGCTGGAATTAAAGGTGTTGTCACCATACCTGGCAGGCTTATTGTTTCAGCCCAGTCATCGAAAACTTGTCATGCAGTACAGGCCATTATGGGTGGACTATGAAAGTGTAAAATCAGCCCGACATGGTGGTGCATGCCTGTAATCCCAGCACTCTGAGAGGCAGAGGCAGGTGGATCTCTGAGTTCAATGCCAGTCTCATCTACAAAGAGACAGCCAAAGCTACACAGAGAGAAAATAATATTACTAGTAATAAAATGTAAAATCTGTATAACTGGGGAGCTGGCAAGATGGCTCAGTGGGTAAGCACTTGTAACCAACCCTGGTAACCTGCATTTGATCCAGCAGCCCCCACACAATGGAAGAGAACCAGCTCCTGCAGGTTGCCCTCTGACCAACCTCTTTACATGCCCTGTGGCAAATACACATACACACATAATCACACCCAAAGTAAATAAAGGTAAGCTCTGTAAAACCAAATAACCCAATATTGTTTTCTGAGTGCAGCACGTGTTCTCAGCATAGATCACTCTTGTCTCCCTTTAGCCCTGCATCTCGCCTGTGCAGGTCAGCACGTGGCTTGCACCAGGTTCCTCCTGAAGTTAGGACTGAAGGATTCTGCAGACCTAACAGGCACCCTGGCCCAGCAACTCACACAGAGTGTAGATATCCTCCAGTACTTTGACCACGACGTGGAATCATAAGGACGTTGGAAGAGGAGGCAGTGAAGTTCATGGTGATTCACATAGAGCTTTTTCAGTTACCGACAGATCAGTGAGTTATTTCCAAGCCCGTGTTTTCATCTCCTGCCTTTCCTTCTGCATGTTCTTCTGCTGAATGACCAGGAGTCTGGCTTCCTGGCATGTTGTATGATCTTGAGCATATCCATCTTTTTCTTTTTTAAACTGTAATGAGCATTGAACTCAGAAGCTGGCACATGCTAAGCAATTGCTGTGCCACTAAAGTCATTGCCAGCAAATAGAATGAGATTAAACACCGAGTATGGCGAATCCTTAGGGAAGTGAATGTAATATATATATATATATATATATATATATATATACATACATATATATATATAATATGTAATATATGAAAGTGTAATAAAACTAGAAATATAAATTGTTAGCCCTTCATGGTGGTGCATACCTTTAATTCCAGTACTTAGGAGGCAGAGGCAGGCGAATCTTTGTGAGTTTGAGGCCAGCCTAGTCTACAAAGTGAGTTCCAGGATATCTAGGACTATACAGAGAAACCCTGACTTGAAAATATATATATATGTGTATGTATGTGATATATATATATTGGTTTTACATATATATGCAATTTGCTGTTTACTCAATTATAAAACATGGTTGACCTATTTAATTTTTTTCCTTTATTAGCTTTTATGTGGCCATTTTGTTTCAGTGCCATTTTAAACAACATTTACAAGGAATTTTTTGTCACCTTTTTATATTCTCAGCACTGCTAGTTGAACTAAGTTTTTCATTTGTTTGTTTTGTTTTCAGTGTGAATGGATAGTTTGCCTGCATATATGTCTGTGAGTCACATGCCTGGTACCTTCAGAGGCCAGAGAAGACATCTGATTTCCCAGGACTAGACTTACAGACAGTTGTGAGCCTCCATATGGATGCTGGGGATCAAACCTCAGATCCCCTAGAGAGCAACCAGTACTCATAACCACTGAGCTGAGCCATCTCTCCAGCCCCAGGAATAAGACTTAAAGTTTTAAGAACTTTTTGTTTGTTTTAATAGACAAGTTTAATCATGAGCAAGACCTAATCCTCATTAGTTTAGTATGATCCAGCGAGTACTGTTGCACACCCACCTGCAGTATTGTGGTTGCCTTGGCAAACAGCAAAGACTTCCAACTCCTCCTAATATCCTCCTGAGGAGTTCATAAGTCTCTGTTTCTAACCACCAAATAAATGTTCCTGTAAAAAACACAGTCCTGTCTTGTAATCTCTTCGTCATACACTGTATGTCTATGCTCATCTGAGATGGGTTTCCATTTTCCCTGTGTCACAGAACTCTTCATTTCAATGTCTTTTGGGTCTGAGGATGATCCTGCTGTGTGATACCCTATGTATGCGTGCTGTGGCTCAAAGGTCACCCTTAGCGCGCGCACGCATGTGTGTGTGCACACACACATACACACACACACACACACAAAGGATTCTATTCATCCTCATACATGTTCTTTCTCCTCTTCCCCCTCCCCTCTCTAACTAAAGCATTTCTGTGTACCTGAAGCTAGTCTCAGACTTGTTATATTTTTAAGCTCTGAGTGTGCTGAAACTTGAAACCTGAGCTATAATGCCTGGTATCTCTTTTTTGCTTGTTATTCTCCACTCATAATTAATTCCCATGTGTCACACTACTTCTGTCCTTCCCAGTACTAAACTCTAAAAATGCTGATTACTACAGGCCACTGCTAAAATTACTCAATAGCCATAGATGATAGTGGTTATCACAACATTAATTGTAGCAAAAAAGTAGTAATAATATGTGCTAACAAGGTTAAGAGCACTGGTTGCTCTTCCAAAGGTCATGAGTTCAATTCCTAGCAACCGTATGGTGGCTCACAACCATCTAAAATGAAATCTGGTGCCCTTCTCTGGCGTGCAAGTATACATGCAAACACATATTGTATACATAATAAATAAATAAATAAATATTTTTTTTAATGTGCTAACAATACACAATTGCTATAATACTATATTAGAAATGCTAATAGCAATGCTGATGATAATAATTGTTCCCCCTAATTATAGTTACTTTTTTTTTTTTTTCATTTTCTTGAGTTACCAAAAGTTACTTTCCCAGGCCTCTCTACCTAAAATTTTACCCTTTTCCTCAGCACTTGCCACCTCCTTCTTTGTGATGGTTAGCTTTACCTATCAGCTTCAGTGTCCACGAAACCTAAAGCCACCTGGAAAGGAGGTCTTAATGATTGATTGTTCTCATTGGTTTGGCAGTGGGTATGTCTGTGAGGGGTTGTCTTAAAATTAAGTTACTCAAGGGAGGACCCATCCCACTGTGGGCAGCTGCTGGGATAATCTTTTTGTAAACTGTGTAAAGGTTGTTTTTGGTTTTTCTTTCTTTCTTTTTTGTTAATTAATTCAGTTAACTTCTTGATCATAGGCCACTGCGTCATCTCCCAGTCCTACCTTCCCTCCTGCATCCCCTACAGACACCCCGGTTCATCTAGTCACATGAAAACTGAGTTCATCTTCCGCCCTGTGGCCTTGTAGGGAAGTCCCATCAGGGGGAAGTGATCAAAAAGCAGGCAACATAGTCTCTGTCAGAGATATCCCCACTCCCTTAACTAGTGGGTCGACATGAAGCCTGACATGCCCATTGGACTTATCTTCTTGGGGTCTGCATTGTAGTATGTCCATCCTGTACTATAATGACTAAAATCTACTTATAACCGAGTATATACCATGTGTGTCTTTCTGTGTCTTTGTTGCCTCGCTTAGGTTGATCTTTTCTAGGTCCGTCCATTTGCCTGCATAAAGCTTTTCTTTGTATTTCTCAGATGTTGATTTCTGTACCAGCAGAGAGCTGAGGACTGCCTGGATTTTGGTATTGTTATTTGTTTTGGATCATCACCTCCCTGAGTAATTTGTAAACATTCTTCTCTATCACCTTCCGATTGGTTTAAGAAAGAGCTGGCCTATAACAAAACAGGAGAAGAAAGCCGGGACTTCTGGGCAGAGATAGGAGGGCTAGGAAAGAATCAGGCACATGGGGGGTGTTCCCCCACCCCCCGCCAGCCAGCCAGGAGGAAGTCATACTAGGATATAGAGAAGTACCAAGCCACGTGGCATATGTGGACTACAGTAGATGGGGTAATTAAGTTATGTAAGCTAGTTGGAATCAAGCCGAAGCTATAAAACCTAAGCTTTCATAAATAATAAAAAGTCTCTGTGTCATTATGGGAGCTGGCGGGTGGAAGCAGTCCCACAGTAGGCAGCACCATTACCTGCAGGGGTGTCCTGAAATGTGTAAGAGGGGAGAAATTGAGCTGAACAGAAGCAAGCAGACAAGGGAGTATGACGCAGTCGTATCTCTCTGCTTTAACTCTGCATGTGATGTGATGGCTTGAAATCCCTGCTTTGACTGCTGCACATGAACTGACTATGGCCTGGAATTTGTAAGCTGAAATAAACCTTTCTCCTCCAAGTTTCTTTTTGTTAGGGCATTTTATTATAGCAACAAAAATAAAACTAGACACACACTCCCCTAGTTTTTTCTTCATAGTGTTTACCACTAGCAAACATACCATATAAAATTTGAGTGACTGTTATATATCTGTCTTCCATTGATATTTAACCAGCTTGTGTCAGGAATGAGGCCTAGAACAGTCCTGGCACAGAATAAGTTTACTGTAGTATGTTTGGTATGTTTGGTGAATACATGATAGCAATGATTTACGCTTATTGAGTCTTAACGTAGGCTAGATGCTGTGCTAAACACTTTAAGAATGTTGGCTCATTTTGTTCTCTGGCTTTTACACTTTACTCTGCTTCAAGAAGCGTTTCTCACACACTCCCTTGAAGAGTCTAATTTTTGAATCTTAGCTCACGAGCACCATCTTGCCACCCCACAGTCTGTCTTCATTGCTGCTCCTGTGTACAATCTACTCTCTGTGAAGTTACCTGGGATTTCCTAATTGCTGGGTTAATTAGTTTGTTTTGTTGTTGTTGACAGTATCTCACTATATAGCACTATGTAGCCCTGGCTGTCCTGGAACTCACTCTGGAGACCAAACTGGTCTCCAGGTTCTGCCCTCCAAGCACTGGAGTTAAAGGCATGCACCACGTCACCCAGCTAAGTAATACATTCTTAACTCTTAGGTTACTAATATCTTCAGTCTCTTCTGCTTTCTGGACTGTTGTTCCTGAGATAATTCACTCCAATTATATTCTTTTCCTTCTCTTTTTTTTCCCTCACGCCTCCACCCCCCCCCCCTTTTTTTTTTTTTTTTTTTTTCATTTTCTTTTCAAAGATAGGATCTTAGGGTGTATTCTGAGCTTTCCTTGGATTTGTGGTCCTCCTGCCTTAGCCTTCTGAGTGTTGGAGTTGAAGGCATGTGCTCTTATTCCTTGCTTCTGAGGTTTCCTTTCTGGTGTTCTCTGTGTACTCCTCTCCTAGGGTCTGTCCCTTGATTACTAGGGTGCTTAGCTTTGTGCCCAGCTCACTCCTCTTATTCACTCCTGCTATTGAAGTAGCAGTTTTACCTGCACCCCAGTATATGGCAACCACCCAAATCTCTCCAACCTTATTTTCAACTGCCTGCTAAAAAAAATTTTTTTTTTTTTTTTGCATGCCTTTAGTAAGGTTGTCTCACAACCTACTTCATGTTCACTTCCCCATACTCTGTTCACCTCTATCTTGTACGTCTGCCTAGCTGAGAGCCCCTCAGTTCACCAGGTCAATCAAGTTGGAAATGTGGGATCACTAAAACTACCATTCTCCTCCACAGGAAGCCCTGGCCTATTCCAGCTGTTGGATAACTGCCTGTCTTCCTTCAGGCTCTCATACATACTCTTATCTCACACCATCCTTGCAGCAGCCTTGTAATTACTAATCCTGCTTCTACTTGTGTTCTCAAATCTGCCTTCCATCTAGCTTCTAGAGAGCACTCACTAATTCAGATAAGGAAGGACATTGATTGCCAATGGTAGCTGAATGTCTGTCCTCCCAGAAAATATACTAAAGACTTTGTTAAGAAGTCCCTCCTTACAGGATGTGATTGTTACTACTGATTGTCACCTTGCAAGGATCTACAATCACCTGAGACATCCCTCTGGGCATATCTGTGAGGGAATATTTAGATTCCATTAATTAAGGTGGAAGACCCACAGTTGTAGTGAAATTATGACAGTAGTTGTCAGGGATAGAAATGGATAAAAACTGCAATCACTTGAAAACAGATCTATATTACTTCCTGTGCTAAAGGAATTCTATGAGACAATAGTTAGAGAACAAAATGAAAATGGATGGTAAGATGGGAAAGGAATAGAAATCTGGCTTAAGAAATGAGAGAAGGAGGCTGGAGAGATGGCTCAGAGATTAAGAGTACTGGCTGAACTTCTGAAGGTCCTGAGTTAAATCCGAGCAACCACATGATGGCTCACAACCATTCTCTTCAGGGCCACCAGGACTCAGTCTTTTCGGCTCTCTTGGTCTCCTTTTGGAGCTCCTGTCCCCTCCAGGTCTTTCTATCTTCCCCTTCTTTCATAAGATCCCCTGCACTCTGCCCAAAGTTTGACTATAAGTCTCAGCCTCTGCTTTGATACCTCAATCAGTAGAGTATTTCAGAGGCTCTTTGTTGTAGGCTCCAGTCCTGTTCCCTCTCTTCTCCTGCTTCCGATGTCTATTGCATTGGTCCTTCTGAATAAGGATTGAGCATCTTCCCTAGGGTCTTCCTTGTTGTTTAGCTTCTTTAGGAGTATAGATTGTAATATGTTTACCCTATATTACATGCCTAATAACCACTTATGTGTGGGTATATACCATGTCTGTCTTTCTGCTTCTGGGATACCTCACTCAAGATGATCTTTTCTAGTTCTACCATTTGCCTGCAAATTTCACGATGTCCTTTTTTTTAGTAGCTGAGTAGTATTCCATTGTGTAAATTTACCACAATTTCTGTATCCATTCCTCCATTGAGGGACATCTGGGTTGTGTCCAGATTCTGGCTATTATGAATAGAGCTGCTACAACATGGTTGAGCAAATGTCCCTGTTGTCTAGTTGAGCATATTTTAGATATATGCCTAGGAGTGGTATAGCTGGATCTTGAGGTAGCACTATTCCTAATTTCCTGAGAAAGCACCAGAAAGATGTAGACTTTAAAACAGAAAATGCTAAAGGAAGCAACCAAAATCACCACTAATTCCACTGCTCAGTTATGCCATTCTTTTCTTAAAATAAATAT